AGGTTTTAGTCTGCCAGAGCTGCTCTTAAGAGCAACGCTGATCTCGTTACTGCCAAACCTGACGTGCTCAGCCTTCATCTTGTATCAGCCTCGAGGGAGACCCAGTCGGCCGTCTTCGCCTTCTGAGACACAGTTTGCGTGTGGCTTCCGTGTACTGCGCTCCTTCACTATCCCGCCTCACCTGCTGCCTGCCTTCTGCATGGGTCTCCCCTTTCTGATTCCTAAGGGCCCCGTCCTCGGAACTCTTCTCTCTGCTCTCCTCCTAAGCCAGCCCGTCCAGTCCCACGATCTTAAATATACACCGTAGGCTGTGGAGAGAGTGCACTTCTCTCCTTCGTGCTCCTGACTTGCCTCCTTGGCAGCCTACCGGCGGCCTACACCTGGATGTCTGAAGGATCCGAAGCAACACTTGGCCCCGATCGCTAAAATTAAACACACAAATGCAAATGTTGGCAAAGATGCAGAGCAACAGAAACTTACTGCGTGGCGGAGGGGAAATTGTTCCGCTTTGGCGAGTGGTTTGGCGGTGTCTACTGAAGTTGAACGCGTGTCCCTCCCCCCCCATGACGCCATAATTTCACTCCTAGGTGTTCAAACAGATGGGTACACGTGCACAGAAGACACGTGCGAATGTCACTGGTGGCATTATTCGGAATTGCCTCGCACCGGAAACGGTCGGAACGATGCATCTGTTGGTAGGACGGAGAGACGGTGCTACACGCACAGCTCCTTGCAGCTGTGAGCCTCACACGCACGGTCTGAGTTTAAAAAGCTAGTCACGGAAGCCTCCAGCTTTGCGAGTTTGTAGGAGCAAAGAGCAAAACCGGTGAAACTTACCTATGGTATTAGAATGCAGGACGGCGGTCACCTTTGGGAAGGAGCGAGGTTGTGACTGGAAGGGGCTCGAGAGGGGCTGCTGGGATGCTGGTTGTACAGATGTGTTCTTTGTACGCTTGTATTTGGTGTGTGTGGTTTTTTTTTTTTTTTTACCATGTTTAAACAAGTTCCAAAACTGAATTCTGATTCGTCACCCCTCGTGTGAACCCGCGCCCTCTCTGGTGACCTCCGGCTCAGAACACCGCAGCTTCTTTCTGCGGGTTACACGAGCCAAAGCCCTGAGAGCCATTCTGGTTTCTTTCTCTCACGCTTCCACGTCCATACCGTCAGCAAACCGGTCTGTTGTGTTTTCAAAATATGGCCTCAACTGCTTCCTACCACTCACTGCTACGGTTTTGTCCAAGTTGCCATCAGCCCTTAGTTGGACTTCTTGGAGTAGTGTCCCGCTCGAGTCTTCTCTGCAGGGTACTTTCGACCCTGCAGTCTCTTCCCTACATCACAGCAAGTAACCCTTTTATTTTATTCATTTTTAATTGTTTTAATGTTTATTTATTTTGAGAGAACATGAGCAGGGGAGGGGCAGAGAGAGAGGGAGACACAGAATCCAGGCAGGTTCCAGGCTGTGAGCTGTCAGCACAGAGCCCGACATGGGGTTTGAACCCACGAACCGTGAGATCATGACCTGAGCTGAAGTCGGACTTTTAACCAGCTGAGCCACCCAGGTGCCCCAGTGACCATTTTAAAACATAACCAAAATCACATCCCTCCCCTGCTCAGTAGGCTCCAGTGACTTACCGTCTCATTCTGAGTAAAATGCCAAATCGTCCCAAGGCCAGGCAGGCCCTGTGTGAATGTTTTCCAGCCATCTGACCTCTCCTACCACTCACTGAGCTCCAGCGGGTGTTCCTAGAACAGCCAAATGCTTCCGTCTCAGCCAAATGCTTCCAGGCCACACCCTCTGCCTGGAAAGTTCTCCTCCCAGGTATCTACTTAGTTCATTCCTTCAGTCTCTGTTTGGAAACGGACCCTCTCCTGAGAAAGGAGTTTCTGGCCATCTGATTTGCATCGGCAGGGCAGCCCTTAGGGGGGTTTCCCACAAGCCATCTGTGCTATTTTAGTGCTATTTAAAATACCATCGCTCAGCATTTTACACATCTAAAAATTTTTTTAATATTTATTTATATTTGAGAGAGAGAAAGAACCAGCAGAGGAGGGGTAGAGAGAGAGGGAGACAGAATCCAAAGCAGGCTCCAGGCTGAGCTGTCAGCACAGAGCCCAATGCGGGGCTTGAACTCATAAGCCGTGAGATCGTGACCTGAGCAGAAGTTGGACGCTCAATCGACCGAGTCACCCAGGCGCCCTGGCATTTTACACATTTATTTAGAATAAATGTGAGTTCTGTGAAAGCAGATTTGGTTTGGTCCACGTCTGAAGCCCCACTACTGTAAGGCCAGGTAACTCTCAGGCACTGGCTGTGGATAAATTACTTTTAATGAAGACCGACTAGGTTATGTGATATTTCCCCCTTTCCTGCTTCCCTCACCAAGGTATTGGACAAAAACCCAGTGAGGTGGCCCTTTATAATCTGGCGACAGACCAGGAAATTGCCGATCTAGGACCTTGGGAAAAATGCTTGGTCTCTATATGGGGACTGGACAGTCTTGGACTCTGAAACACCCTTAGAACTACATATGAAGGTCATAGAATTTTTTAGAAATCAGAGAATTCCTTGCCTCCCAAAGTGTTGTTTTCTGGGTTACTGCTGAGATCCTTGTCAACGGTCGTGGCTACACCTCTGATGTAAACTGAACCGCTCTATTTTTCTGGGCTGATCATAATTTCAAGGAAAAAGCTGTAACTTCTAACTTCCAAATCTCCCCTTTAGATTTTAGTTGTACCCCGCCGTCTAGTCCGACACACTGGGATCCGGCACGTTACATAAATCTGTAGCTACGTTATGGTAGGTGTCTGTGGCGTATAAATAACAAAATTAGGGGAAAAAAGACATACCGCTTAAAGTAACTTCCTTTCTCGGTTCTTCAAATAGGAGTGAGGAGGGAAAAAAGGAGAGCCCGAGGCTAGGGGACACGTCAGGCGAAGGACACCAGGCACCACGGTGGGCGATGAGACGGACGCATCTGAGCAGCGGCTGGTAGTCTGCCCGCCTGGGGACCTGGGAGGTGTTCCGGGACAACTAGGAGATACGGTTTTGTGGGCTACTCAAAGAGATACAGAAACTAAGGTCACGTTAACTTTCGGAGTCTCCCTGCTCGTCCCTGGTCGGGGCCTGGCATCCCGGGAGTGGTTAGCACACAGTCTGGAGAGCTGGTGGGCCGGCACAGGGGGAGGCATGGAAGAGGATGAAGTTAGGCAGTGACCGCATAGTCCCGGGGCTCCGCATCTGACCTGACAGCATCTCTGAAGGGATCAAGTTAAGGGAACAGAGTGGGATCTTTCAGGGCTCGGGACACATTTCCACATAAATCCTGTTCATTTAGGAATCGGTGGTACAGGGACAGGAGTCCTCTCCTTGCAGACAGACGCGGGGTTTCCCATTTGGGGATCTCCTCTGAAATGAGGACCCTTCCCACAGATGCAGAGGCTTCATTTCCTTGGAATCTGAGCGGCTCAGATTCCAGCCAGAGCTTACTCTGTGACCGGGGTCCAGTCCTCCTGGCCAGGCTTATCTCTCCCCAATGGGACGACCTAAGTCCTACGTGACAGAAGTCTCGAGAAATTGAGGAATACCCAGGTGACGTTCCTTTATAGATGCGTCAAGTTACGACAGAAAAAGGTCCTGAGATTTAAATGGCTACATTATTTCCTGAATTCTGTTTTTCACCGTCTGGCATCTTCAGTCAAGGAGGGGCCCAAATCCCAGTGTAGGTCACTGGCATTTATATAAATAAGCCAAAAAGACTGCTGCATGGATTTTTTTTTTTCATTTGTGAAAATCTGCAGCGCCCCCTCCCCCAAACCTCACCTGAAGAAGAGTCTAGAACTCCTTTTCTGTGCTACCCTGTTGTCAGAGCTCTCCATTCTCAAGGCCAGGCTGGGAAGTTGTCAGGTGCCCCTTAAAAGAGCTACCTGATCGTCAGACTCCATCCGGAGGAAACCTGATGCTGATTTCTGGCTGACGCGTCGCCCTGCCTGCCGGGGGCATCGTGGGCACAGTCGTCTGCTTCAGAAATCTGGGGGCCAAGGAAAAGCAGGTAAAATGACCTTTACACAGCTGCTTAATTTCTGCAGTGTGGTGAGGAAATAAGTTGACCCTACACCCCAGAGCCTGTGCGAACCCAACTTAAAAAATATTACAAAAACTATACTGTGTACAGCAGCCGATCTGTGAGGCTTGTAAGAGGAGCCGCAGGAAGAAGCTACAATTCAAGGAGGGGGAATGAAACCTGCCCCCTTGTTCTTTCCAGGGTGCGCGGCAGGAGTGTGCCCGGTCTAACCCCCCAGGCCAGTCTCTGAGCACAGGGCCTTGGCAACAGAATTTTACAAAGTTCCTGAAGTGATTCCACGATGCAGTGAGGGTTAAATAACACTGGTTTCAGGTACAGAAGAGGATCTCTGTAGGTTGTGATGAGCTAGAATGTTAAAACCAGAAGAGAAAATAACAGGAAGGTTTAACGTTACGCTGACGTAAGCCACTATATAATGAGTCATTAATTTAAGAATGCTTTACAGTTCTTTTTATTAGGAACCAGTTAATCAACTTAAACGCATTAGAACAGAAGCATAATAGATCCCCAGCCTAGTTACTGAGGCACAGACGCTTTCTATTGGCAAAACATGCATAAATATACACACTCTAGATGCGACACAGCAAAATGCTGACGTGCAGTGACCCCGTTCAAGAGTACACTGTGAACACAAAAAAGTGGAATATAAAATTCCAAACAACGTTTGAAAGCGTCCACTCCAAATCCCCTCATTCACGGAGCAAAGTGAAGCTTAAAACGGTTGAATTTTCCAATGTCACAAAGTTGCTCGAAAACCACTGGATGACTTCATCCCAATGTACTTTCCCTTCTATGGCGCGACCGTGAAAAGTTAACACCTTTTAGGCAGTTTCTCACTTCACTCTGAATCTTCAGCACTTAACCGAAGGACAGGCCGGAGCAGATGTGTCCGCCACGTCTGTGATGTTCTGGCCAGGGTCATATGCCCGGGTGCAGTCTCTGGTGCTTGTTGAGAGCAGAGCGGTATCGGAAGGCTTTCCCGCAGTCGCTACATCCAAAGGGCTTCTCTCCCGAATGAATCCTCTGGTGCTGGATGAGGTACGTGCTCTGGCTGAAAGTCTTCCTGCACTCGTTACAGTTATAAGGTTTCTCCCCCGTGTGCGTGTTCTGGTGTTCGGTCAGGTGCGTGCTGCGGCTGAAGGCTCTGTCGCACTCGTTGCACTTGTAGGGCTTCTCTCCCGTGTGAACTCGCTGGTGCTGAGTCAGGTGAGAGCTCTGGCTGAAAGCCTTTTCGCATTTATTACACCGGTAGGGTTTTTCTTCCGTGTGAGTCTTCTGATGTTGAGCAAGAGAGGAACAGTGCCGGAAGGCTTTGCCACACTCCGCGCACTCATAAGGCTTTGCTCCCGTGTGAATCCGCTTGTGTTGCGTGAGGTGTATGTTCTGGTTGAAGGCTCTCCCGCACTCGTTACACTTGTAAGGTCTTTCTCCGGTGTGTATCTTCCTGTGCTGAATCAGGGAGGAGCCGTAACTGAAGGTTTTCCCACATTCGTGACACTGATAGGGCTTCTCACCGGTGTGAATTCTCTCGTGTTTGGCAAGAGATGAACTCCGGATAAAGGCTTTCCCACACTCCTTACATTCATAAGCTTTCTCCTGGGTGTGAGTCTTCTGATGTTGATTCAGGTTGGAGAGATAACTGAAAGCCTTTCCGCACTCATTGCACTCAAAGGGCTTTTCCCTGGTGTGAATTCTCCGATGCTGCGTCAGGGACGAGCAGTAACTGAAGGCCTTCCCGCATTCGTTGCACTTGTAAGGTTTCTCTCCGGTGTGAATTTTCAGATGTTGGGCGAGGGAGGACCAGTAACTGAAGGACTTTCCGCATTCGGCGCAGTCGTACGGCTTCTCCCCGGTGTGTGTCTTCTGATGTTGGGTGAGGTTGGAGTGCTGACTGAAGGCTTTCCCACATTCGTTGCACTCGTAGGGTTTTTCACCAGTATGGATCATATGGTGACGAATAAACGTCGAGGGCCCATTGAAGGCCTTCCCGCATTCGTTGCATTTATAGGTCTTCTCCCCGGTGTGAATTTTTTGATGCTGAGTAAGGTGCGTGCTCCTGGTGAAGGTTTTGTCACACTCATCACATTTGAAAGGTTTTTCTCCTGTGTGAATTTTCTGATGTTCCATAAAGTGGCCTCTCTGGCTGAAGGCTTTTCCACATTCATTGCAGGTGTACGGTTTCTCCCCAGTATGAATCCTCTGGTGCTGCACAAGATGGGTCCTCTGACTGAAGGCTTTCCCACATTCGTCACATTTATAGGGTTTTTCTCCAGTGTGGATTCTTTGATGTTGAGTAAGAGACGGACCCTCAATGAAGCCCTTCCCACACTGATCACATTTGTAGGGTTTATCTCCAGTGTGAATTCTTTGATGGTTGATAAGGTTTTCACTCCGGCTGAAGGCTTTTTCACATTCGTTACATTTGTAAGGCTTCTCCCCGGTGTGCGTCCTCTGATGGCGAATGAGAGCAGAACAGTAACTGAACGCTTTCCCGCATTCGTTGCACTTACAAGATTTCTCTTTTCTGACCGGGTTTGTATTCTGCCTGACGCTCGTCTTAGTAGCGGTCTCTTCTGCAGATGTTTCTTGTGTCACAAGGTTTGAGCTTACACTGATGCTTTTTTCAAAGTCCTTATTTATAGGGCCTCTCTCCCAAGTGGGTATTGTCTTTTCGGTTATTTTTATTTCTCTTGGCAGCGCCTGCCGGTGTGCCTGACGCTTCTCCAGACTGCCTTCGTACCCCCAACTTTCTGAAAAGTCAGAACCGTGAGGGTCTTCCCTTTTGTGGTTTTCCACCACTGCCCCGTGACACGGCTGCTCTTCAGAAATGTCCGGCTCTGGGACTGCTTGGCTATCTTCTGGTCCGATGTCATGGTCTGCAAGAAAAAGAAAACACCTATATTCTCTATTCAGAAGGCGGGAGAATAACTGCCCTTGTGGGAATGATCTAATGAAGCTAAAAATAAAGCTTTTGGGAAGTCCTGAGGACTTTCGAGCGCAGCCCTATTATTTGAGGAGAACGTTGGAAAGAGCCAAGGATAGCCATAAATAAAATCCGAAAGCGGCGAGACAACGTCTAATTCCACATCACAGATAATCTCTAAGAGCCAGTAAGGAAACGCCACTTGAGGTCACAGTAGATTAAGGACAGACCACAGAGCTGGCCAAGAGGAGACACAGATAGGCTAACGGAGGTGGTCTGAAGTGGGATTCCTTGCCAGTGAACAGCAAAACAAAAATCAAGGGATCAAGATTCCCAGTAGGGACAGAACGGGAAGACTTGGCTAAGACCACGGTGTTTAGCCTGGAACACGACCTAGTCTGTCTCTGCCAGAGACGCGAAGTTGTCAACAGAGGAAATACTTCAAGGCAGGCAGATGACAAGGTCAATTTTCGGCATTTTGAGAATGAGAAAAGGCAGTGATGGAGCAGACTGGGGTGGTGTTTGTGGGCGTGGAAGATGCCCAAAGTAGAAGGACCCAGACGCTCAAGTAACAGGAAAGATCAGCTTCAGGGGAAGCGAGAGCTGCGGAAGTGACAGGAACGTTTCGGGGGAGGGGCTCAATAAAACATAAGCAGAGTCGAATACGTAATAATCTACACACAAGGCAGTTTATCAGCAAACAAACAACAGAAGCGGCGCCAGACCGGCAGGAGGCGGAGCGCTGCCCCAGACACAGGCGACAACTAAAACTAGGCCCGTCAACGCCGGTAGAGTCGGGAAAGATCAAAAGCCGCATTTAAAACGTGTTTCTTTGGTCCCTTTGACAACAGGAGGCTGCGGCAGACCCCCGGGAACCCCGAGTGTCCCGTGCTGCCGGCCTCGTCACGGTCACCGTCACGGTCCCCACCAGCATGCGCCCAGAGCTCTCCTGTCCCCTCTCCGTCCCTGGCGCCCTGGGGAATGGCGCAGGCGGACCCCTGACAGCGGCGCGTCCCCGGCAGGGACGGGAAGGTCCACGCGACACGGGTCTTGGGGAACGGCCAAGCCTCCGCGTAAGAAACAGGTACGTTTCCTTAAGAGAACGGCACCTGGCAAGCCACGTGTACAGCACGTGCCCATGAGGAACGGCTCCCAGAAGCGCTTCCCGGTGAGCAGGTGGAGACTGCGGCCTGTGAGGCCGTTCGGCGGCTCGTCTCCAGCCCCGGAGTCCCAGGGGAAGCCGGGACGTGCTCTCCACGTTGTCATGTCTGCGCGGTAACCAACAGAATGACCAGAACGGCAGTGGCGGGCAGAGAAGGAAGGCTTGGAGGACCGTGGGGTGTGAGCTCGGGAACTCCCGAGCCTGCACCGCTGGGTTTCCAAGGCACAGGGCGCACCGAGCCATAGGAGGAACACGCCCAAGGCCCTACTTGGGTAGACGAGGGAGGAGGGTGAGATCAGGTAAACGGGGCAGAGGTTTAAGAATAGGGAATCTCAGGATGACAGCATCCAAGAGGAGCTAAACAAGATGAGGCTTCAGGGCGGAAAGCACCCCGTCCCCCCAGACTTAGTACAGTAGCAGGAAGCTGATTTCACAGGAAGGAAGGACCCAATTAGGCAAACAGGTACAGAGGGCTATAGACCACCACGGGATGATGTCACCCAGAGCGGAGCTAATTAGCAAAAGAAAGGCGCTTGTGGACCCTGAGGTGCAGGCTCCTTCTAGTCCCCGAGACCCAACCTTCCAACCTTCCGCCAGGAGTTTATTTTGTACTGACCCAAACCCCCAACACCGCCTACCTTCAAAACCCCCTCCCCCCACGCCCATGAGTTAACCTTCACGATTTCATGGATTTCACGGTCTCTTTGTACGCGCCCGTCCCCAGGCTTGTACGCCTCCTGATCCTAATAAAAACGAAGCAAGACCCTTGCTCGGGGCTCTTGTCTCCTCCCGACATTAGCCTCTCTCACATTTTTAATCCTGCATCCGGCTTTCTTGCTAGACAAGAGAGAACTCCAGACCCAGGGTCTATGACAGAGAAAGTTCCAGAAGGCCAGACTGAACCGCACCGTTCCTACTGCAGAAACGCATTTGCACTTTACTAGTGTGAAGCTGTGGGCACCGAGCGCAGGACCGCAACACCCCTGTGCGTGGAGAAGTACACACGCGGACGGGCGGACTGCCACACACCGGGGAGACTGTAGGGATCGCGGCTACGCGTCAAGATTCTGCAGAGACCAGGTCACCAAGACAGCCCAGAGGAGACGGCAGAAAGAGGGCAAGGAAGACAATACAAGGACCAGGAGCCACTTCAGTGCAGGTATTGTTACCGCTTCCGATTACCTGTACATTTCTGTAAATCTGTAAACTGCTTTTACGGAGGGAAAAAGTGCCAGGTCCGCAGCTAAGAGGAAGTCTGCTCTGAGGGCTGAAGCGGGTGGGACCAACGGCCAGCTTACAAGATGGCCATCGTTTGGTCACGTCCCAGGAACAAAAGTAAACCAAAGAATGGAGCCAAATATTTCAAGGGACTGTCTTCTACCTACGGACCGGGTCACTGGAACCACCACCTACATGAGCTATGTATGTAGCTCATGTACATGAGACACCAACATCAGGGGTCTAGTATTTTTACCTAAATAAGTCTTTTTGGTAATGACTAAAGCACTTTGTGAAAAATCTAGGATTTTTCGATACATATTTAAATATTTTTAAATTGCTTTTTCATCTGCTCACGTTGGAATTTTTAAAAACTTCGTTTTTAATTTGTAATAAAACTTGACCATTTTTTTCCCCAAAAGTTAACGTGTAAGCATGACTTAATAAAAGCTTTTTTTTTTTAAGTCACTTTTCTAAATTGTGTTCCATGAAACCATCTTCTTTTGAAAAATGTATTTATTTTGGGGGCGCCTGGGTGGCTCAGTCGGTTAAGCGTCCGACTTCGGCCCAGGACATGATCTCACAGTTCCTGAGTTTGAGGCCCGCGGCAGGCTCTGTGCTGACAGCTCGGAGCCCGGAGCCTGCTTTGGATTCTGTGTCTCCCCCGGTGTCTCTCTGTCTGCCCCTCCCCAGCTCATGCTTGCACTCTGTCTCTGTCAAAAACTTAAAAAAAAAATTTATTTATTTTGAGAGGGAGTGCACACAGGGGACGGGCAGAGAGGGAGAGAGAATCCCAAGCAAGCTTCACGATGTCAGCAAAGAGCCCGATGTGGGGCTCGAACTCCCAGAACGTGAGATCATACCAAGAGTCGGACGCTCCATGGACTGAGCCACCCAGGGGGCCTCTAAGGGAAATATTTTAATTGTGCAGTTTGGAAAGGATTCACTGTTGGGAGGGTGAGGGTTTGAGGCAGAATGTGCCATTCCATGCAGCCCTGTTGGAAATTCCTAGTGGCCAGCTACGTATTTGAAAATCTGAGTTCTTCTGGCAAGAAACCCGCTAAACTTGTAGATGATCCAACACTTCCCAAATCTGAACACAGAGTACTTTCTTTTCTCCATAGAAAAGAACCCCCACCCCAGCTCACTGACTCTGGAGATCTATCCCTTACCTTGTATGACTAAGTCTGTATATGTTTTCAGGGTCAGATCTCTGAAGAGGTCTCTCTGTGCAGTTGGGAATTCACGGTTTACAAGAAAGTTATTCACAGTCTCAAGGACGGTCTGAGTCGTAGGATCGGAGGCGTAAGGAATAAAACGGAAGACTGCAGACACAGACTCGCTCGTGCAGAGTTTGGCTGGGAAGGCAAGGAGGCAGCCTGGATGGTGGCCAAAAGGATGACCAGTGTTGAGTAAAAGTATTCAGAAATTTAGGTTACTGTTTCCGTTTGAAAGGCCTAGTAATGGAGCCTGTAGATCTAAAAAAAAGGGGGAAAAACAACCCTGTAGGGCTGTAAAGCGAGGTGATAGTTAAGAGATAGTTAGATCAGGGGCGCCTGGGTGGCGCAGTCGGTTAAGCGTCCGACTTCAGCCAGGTCACGATCTCGCGGTCCGTGAGTTCGAGCCCCGCGTCGGGCTCTGGGCTGATGGCTCGGAGCCTGGAGCCTGTTTCCGATTCTGTGTCTCCCTCTCTCTCTGCCCCTCCCCCGTTCATGCTCTGTCTCTCTCTGTCCCAAAAATAAATAAAAAACGTTGAAAAAAAAAATTTAAAAAAAAAAAAAGAGATAGTTAGATCAGAGTCCCAAAGGAGGTGGGGAAAGATGGAACCCACCGGAGTCCAGGTTAAGAGGTTGCCTTCAGAACAAGGCAGGAAGGATGCCTCCTGGGAGAGGAATATAAAACTAGAACAGATGTCGAAAGCCCCAGTGTTCTCACAAAGCCCAAGAGTCCGGATGGATTCTCGTTTCGCCACGGGAGCTGCTTTCAAGAAAAACAGATCTATCTAGATTTCAGCCATAAAAACCTCTTGCCAGGCTGAGGCCTAGAAGTGACGATGCTCTTCCCCCAGGTCCCCAGTACTTACCCCCGCCAGTAGCTCCCGGAACACCGGACTCCACCACCCATGGCTCCGTCCCTTGTTCTAACTGGGAAATCACGTCAGGTTTGGAGACTTGGAGTCCTGCTCACAGGGGGAAAAAAAGGTGTCTGGCTGCAGTAAAAGCCCCGTGGGACAAATCCGACGGCTCTGAACAGCACATAAAGCCTCAGCGGTCCAAATGCCCAGACATGGTTTAATCTGGAAACTGATGTGGGTTCAGAAAAATTACTAGGTTGTACTTCTACCTGCTAGGAGAGTAGACACCTTTTCAAAACTTAGCAATCTTTGCTTCCTTAACTTCATCAGAGGCAAAAACTTACTGAAGCAGAGAGCCCTCCTCCTCCACACCCACAGACACTTAACTCCGAGAGACCCTTACCTATAGAGACAAGGTGTGTATAATTCTCCAGCGTCACATCCCTGAACAAGTCTCTCTGTACAGGGTCCAGCTGTTTCCATTCCTCCTGGGTAAAATCCACTATCACATCCTTGAAGGTCACGGATTCCTGAAATAGCAAACATATTTCTCCTCAGCCATAACGCATTAACCCGGGGAAAGGGCCAAGTCGGCAACACTGACAGAAGCAAGGCGAGACAGTTGCGGGGCCATCTGGAAAAGGACTCTGATGGTTCCTCTTTGTGAAGTGACTATAAAAACGGTACCTCGTTCGTAGGCTCCCTATATAAGAAGTCAACGTGACACATTTAGGGTCTGGCATACAATTAGTGGTAAGTCAATGGAGGCCTTTGTTGTGGTCAGTCATCGTCACCTCTGTGTTCTAAGGTCTATCAAGTATTAATAATACACCTACTAACAAAAATGAAATGTTTTACTACCTACAATGTTCAGTAACAATCAAAAATGTTTCTGAAAGAATCTGGGGAGAATTCCCTATCACATCTCAAAGTATACCAAGATGTATACCAAAAGATTAAGATAAATTAAAACAGTGGCCGAGTAAGGAATAAAACTCAATGTAGCAAAACAGTCCAAAAACGAACCCATGGTTATAAGAACTGAATATATGGATTAAGCAACCATCAGTTTGAAAAAGCTGAATTAGTCACCAAACGGTGTCATAACAGTGACTGTCCAGAGAAAAAAATGAAGGTGGGTTCCTTCATGGCACACAAATATTTCTGTTGAGTCGAAATTCAATTTTAAGAAAAAGCAAAAATAGAATAAGAGGTAGGGTTTATAATCTTGCAGTGTAGAAAGCAAACATCCTAAGACAGACTGACCCACACCACCACACAAATGTGTAAAACTTCTCAAGCCATAAAAGGCAATATTCTGAGATCCCACAAATAGCAAAAGAAGCCCGATGAACCCACATCAATAAAAAAAAAAAAAAAAAAAAGCCAACAACCCAAACAGGCAATTCACCCGACAGTGTTAAATAAGCCATGAAAAAATGCCCCACTCCACCGCCACTACGGTGGGAGGAGCTCAGGCCGGCCAGCGCCGCGGGCAGCGCGCATGTGCAGCTTGGCAGGGACACGCGGTCTGTCTCCCGGGCAATCTGACGGGAGCCATAGAACTTGAAATGCCCGTATCCGTGAATCCAGCGTTATTGCCTGTAGGAATTTATTCTCCAGAAACACCTCGGACGCAAAGACATACGCACCAGTCCCCTCGCAACACCGTGGAGGGAAAACAAGCAAATTAAATGCCCGTTAACAGGACAGTGCTTACAGACTTTGTGGTGTATCCGTGCTACGCACCTGACGCGGACTTTTAAATGAAGTAGCTCGATGTGCGCTAATTAGGAAATGACGTGTGATACGACGATCAGTATACATGGCCTGATCCTGGTTCTGTTCTTATGAACAGGCAAGTTCTATGTAAATGACAGAAAACAACCTACAAGACGACACAACCAAATATCAGTGGCGCTGTGTGGTGGGACTCGGAGGCAGGACGGGGGGCGTCCTACTTTTGTCTTTATTCTGCGTTTGAAATCGGGGGAGTTAATTTGGTTTGAAATTGGTAACTGTTGAGATTTCTGCCTCTAACCACAGCAGAGCGACCGGACGGGCTCTCCCGGTGCAAGCGAGCACACGCCCCGAAACAAACACGCTGGCACTTGAACAGCAGGCAGACGGAGAGAGGGGAACAGGTCACCTGAGCCCCGCACCCCCTCGTTTCCGGCCCGGAGGCGCTAGGGACCCACAGCAGGAGGCAGGGCCCATCCCCGACGGGCGTCTCCCCGAGACCACGCCGGATGCTCAGGACTGCGTGCGGAGGAACGTGCACGTTATGGCGTAAGCTCTGTCACACTGGCAGCTGCCGCGGTGACAGAGCCAGAGCGGAGGGGACGCGCACGCTCCACTCCCATACCGTTCCGGCACACTCCAGGAGCGAGGCCAGAGGAACAGCGGCAGGTCTGGGCCGTTCGGCGCTTGCTAAGCTGCAGGGACACGTGAACAAGCCCTGGAAACGAATGCCTGGGAGTCCCCGACGGCGGTGTTACCGTGTGCCTACGCGCCACGTCCCAGACCTGTCCGCACGTGAAGACACGCGCACACGGCGGCGCCCACTTCGGGGTCTGCGCCACAGCCGCTCAGAGCCGCTCAGGACTCCAGCAGGCTTCCCGTCTCCTCCCCTGTCCGTGCGTCCCAGCTGGAAAGGAAGTGCCTCTGCGTGACCGTCACAGAGGGAGGACTCGGAAGCGTGTACCTGATGTCTCTGGATTCCGCTTGGGATCTTTTCCCTTCTCACGGTGTTTTGTGTCCTTTGTTGTAATAATCTTTAGCCCTAAGTCTTGCCACCGAGTTGGGCGAGTCATTCTGGCAAATCACTGAATTCAAGGGTGGTCGTGGGCAGCCCGAAAAATGGACCCAGAGTAAGGCTAGGCTAGACCAGCCTTAAGAAAGCTTAGGGATCAAAAACAAACCGCAAGGGGCGCCTCGGGGGCTCAGTCGGTTAAGCGTCCGACATCAACTCAGGTTATGATCTCACAGTTTATGGGTTTGAGCCCCGGGTTGGGCTCTGTGCTGACAGCTCGGAGCCTGGAGCCTGCTTTGCATTCTGTGTCTCCCTCTCTCTGCCCTTCCCCTGCTCGTGCTGTCTATCTGAAACAAACATCAAAAAACCCCACAAAACTTCAAGAAGATCAAGCTGTGGTCCAGACGAGAGTAACAAGACTGGATTTACACTCGTGCATGAAATAACCAAAAACTCCCAGACAAAACATACGAAACAACAGTTTCCAAGACAACGAATCTCCTACAACAAAGGACAGCCATCCCTAAGAATCAGTAAAGCAGTGAGGTGGGCCGTACAGCTGCTCCCACTTCCTGCCTCGAGAGCCCACGGGACAGAGGGCCGCGGAGGAGACAGCGAGCAGAGAAGCCAGAAGAACCGCCGAGGCTCCCGCTTGAGCTTCCAGCAAGTACCCAGCCGTGCGTGGCTGCGAAGAGGCCACCGGGGGCAGGGAGAGAATCGCCCGGTACTGGCGTTCAAAATGGGCTGGAAACAGTCTCCATTCTCATCATCAAAGTGGAAAATTTCATGGTTCATTAGACATTGGGTAGAATACGCAGGAAGGTCGTGTCTCAAGAGTGGCAATAAGTGGCCTTAGACTATACACTGTCCTGGTTCACCTAACAGACCTTAAAGCAAGATTTGAAAGAAACACTGGTTCGGGCACCATAACTGCATCCCGGAATAAGGCTCAAGGATATTTGACAGGAACACAAAACTATGCAGAACCCAACAAAGTTAAATCAGAGATTTAAATCGGAGATAATGAGGTATACAGAGCAGCAGGAAAATACAGGCTATAATGAGGAAGATAACCAGTTAAAGCCAACCCGGAACTAACACACCTGCTAGAATTAACAGATGAGAACATTAAAAATTATTCTGGCCGCATTCCGTATGTTCAAAAAGCTAATAGAGGCACGTGAGACATTTTTTAAATAGACCTAAGTGGAACGTCTAGAGCTAAAAATGAGAATGTCTGGAGATGAAGAACACACTGAATAGCGTTCATGGCAGATTAGGGATGAAGAAGAAAAGATTAATAAATTCAAAGACAATGAGATAAAAACTATCAAAAGTGAAACAGGAAAAAAAACATGTAAAAAGATGTAGCTTCAGGGAGCTCTGGGCAACTTCAAGTGGCCCATTACGTGTGTAGCTGGAGTCCCTGAAAAAAGAAGAGGAGAGGAGCAGAGAAAACATTTGAAGAAAGAAATTTTTTTCTACACTTGATGAAAACTGTAAACCCACAGATCGAAGAAACTCCATGAACTCCAAGTATAAGAGACACAAATCCACATTGAGACACATCTTAATTAAATAGCTCAAACCCAGTGATGGAGAAAATCCTGGAAAACAGGGCACATGAATAAATATAAAGGAACAGAGAAATGACAGCAGCTTTTTCGATGCAAGCAGTGCACAGAGGAGAAAATGAAGCAACAACAGCGTAGAACAGAACAGACAGTGTAGAGAGAACGGTCAATGTAGAACCGAAAAACAAAGGCACAATAAAGACTTCTTCAGATATAAAAACTTGAAGGAATTCCGTGGCTACAAAGGTGCTCTGAGAAATCTTAAGACCTTCATGCAGAAGAAGAAATGATACCAGGTGAATATAAGGGCCTACACCAAGGATTCTCAACCTTGTCGTTACTGATATTTTGGACCAGATCATTCTTTTAAATAATCCGGGGGGGAAGGGGCATCACTGCATCAACCCACCGGATGCCAACAGCACTTCCCACTGAGTCAGGACAACCAAAATGTCTCTTGACATTTCCGAATGTCCCAGGGGTCAAAATCACCATAATTGTGAATCACTGATGTACATCATAAAGGATGAAAAACACTAGAAATAGTAGTTGGGTGGATAAATATATATACGTTTTTCTTACTATTTTTTCCAGCTCTTTAAAAGGTAATTTCTTGGGGCGCCTGGGTGGCGCAGTCGGTTAGGCGTCCGACTTCAGCCAGGTCACGATCTCGTGGTCTGTGAGTTCGAGCCCCGCGTCGGGCTCTGGGCTGATGGCTCAGAGCCTGGAGCCTGTTTCCGATTCTGTGTCTCCCTCTCTCTCTGCCCCTCCCCCGTTCATGCTCTGTCTCTCTCTGTCCCAAAAATAAATAAACGTTGAAAAAAAAAATTATAAAAGGTAATTGCTTAAACAAAAATAAGTATTGTGGGATTTATAACAGGTGTACAAGTAAAACGTGTCTGGGGGCGCACCTGGGCGGCTCAGTCGATTAAGTGTCTGACTCTTAGTTTTGGCTCAGGTCATAGTCTCATGGTTCGTGAGTTCGAGCCCCCAGTTGGGTTCTGCGCTGACAGCGCGGAGCCTGCTTAGGATTCTCTCTCCCTCTCTCTCTGCCCGTCCCCAGCTCATGCTCTCTCACTCTCAAAAATAAACATTAAAAAAATATTAAGGAAAAAATAAAATTTCTTGAAAAACAAACATATGGCAATAGCTGCATTAAAAACTGGGAGGAGTGGACTGGAAGCGCACTACTGGAAGGTTCTTACATTAGTCCTGAAGGGCAGCCTCGCCTGAAAGTAAATGGCAATAAATGTGTATACCTTAAGCAACAGATAAAATAACCAAGGGTTATGGCTAGTAAGCTAGTGAAGAAAACACACTGGAATCCTAAGCAGTATTAAGTTTCCAGAAGAAGGTACGGATAGAGGAAAAAGGGAATGAAGGCAATACAAATAAGAAAAAAAAGCTAGATGACAGACTTACACTAATCACTTCAACAATCACGTTAAATGTAAATGTATCACATTAGATATAAAATCACATTAAATAAATAGTCTAAACACCCCAGCGAAAAGGCAGATTGCCTGACTGGACAGAAAAAGCAAAACCCAATGAACTACATGTTGTCTATAAGTAACTCACTTTGAATATAAAGACACAAAGTAAAAGCAAAGGATGAAAAAAGACACACTACGCTGACACCAAGCAAATATCAAAGTAAGTTTCGAGACAAACAACATTACCAGGCATAAAAAATAAAAAGTTCATTTCTCAATGATAAATAAGGTCAGGTGATTAAGAGGACATAACAATCCTAAATGTTTACACACCTAGAAGCAGCTTCACAATACATGAAGGAAAAGCCGATGGAATTGCAAGGAGAAATAGACAAATCTATATAATAACAGCCCCAAATTTCACTATCCCTATCACAACATTTGATAAAACAAGTAGAAAATCAGTAAGGATATAAAACACTTGAGGGGCGTCTGGGTGGCTCAGTCTGTTAAGCGTCTGACTTCGGCTCAGGTCATGATCTTGCCGTCCATGAGTTCAAGCCCCAGGTCAGGCTCTGTGCTTTCAGTTCAGAGCCTGGAGCCTGCTTCGGATTCTGTGTCTCCCTCTCTCTCTGCCCCTTCCCTGCTCACACTGTGTCTTTCTCTCTCAAAAATAAAAAATATATATATTAAAAAAAAACCCACTTGAACAACAACTTGACCTAAATGACACGTGTGGTATATGGAATAGTGGCCCTCCCAAAGATGTCCACATCCTAATCCCTAAAACCTATGAAATTATTATCTAATACAAGAGACACTGCAGAAGCGATCCCGGTGGGGAAATATCCCAGAATGCATGAGGGGCCCAAGGTAATCAAGAGTCCTTACAAGAGGGAGGCAAGAAGGTCACAGGGCAGATGTGAAGAGGGAAACAAGTCAGAGTCGCAGAGAGGTCTGCAGATGGAGGAAGGGGACACAAGCCAAAGAATGCAGGCAGCCTCGAGAAGCTGGAAGAAGGGAACAGATTCTGCCCTAGAGCCTTCAGAGGATGCAGCCCAGCCTACTGACCCCTGCAACTAAGCCAGTAAATGTGTGGGTTCAAGCCATTAACCTTGTAAAAGGAAACAAATACATTCTTAGAATCCTCTACCCAACAACCTGAAAAAATACACATTCTTCTCAAGTGCTCACTGCTCATTTATCAAGATAGACTATAATGAGAACAAAAGTCTCAGATTCAAAAAGATTCAGTCATACAGAGAATGTTCTCTGGTTGGGTATCTTCACTGTCTTGACTGTGGTGATGGTTTCATGAGTGCACGTGTACGTCAAAACTTATCAAGTTATACACTTTAAATATACACAGTTTATTATCATATCATTCACCAATAAAAAATAAAGACCTACCAGAGTCTTTGAGTCTGAGCTCAAAGTAGGAAGAACTGGGGTCATTTCTTTGACGATTACATTGTGGGACAAGAAGTAGGGGAAAAAAAATCTAAGAAAAAGGAGCCTGATTAAAGGGGGGCTTGAGGTTAATGATACCTGGTGGAATAATGGTTACCTTTTTTTCCTAAATTCTCAGTTACTGTTTTTTCTTAAAACATTGTCCTGTCCAATCCCTCCTCAGAAACCACTAATGGTTCATGAATGGCCTACAGAATAAAGCCTTCAACACCTCGTCTAGACATCAGAGGCTTGTCCTGTTCCAACTTCTTCAACCATTTGTTTACCATCTGCCCAAAGAAACCAGCTCCCACAATCTTCATGAACCCTATGTGACACCTTTCTTACTTGTGAACCTTTCTCAAAATCTTCTCCATACCGAGGGGTGCCTGGGTGGCTCAGTCAGTTAAGCGTCCAACTCCTGATTTCAGCTCGGGTAACCATCTCACGGTGCATGAGTTCCAGCCCCGCTGACAGCACAGAGCCTGCTTGGGATTCTCTCCCTCTACCCCTCCTCCACTCACTGACTGTCTCTCAAAATAAATAAATAAACATTTAAAAAAATATATCCAAATGTCACCCATCCTTTTACTAGTAACACAAATCCCTTATCCCCGTGAAACTCTCCTGACCCCGCCAGACCACACACTTTTTGCATTCTCTATTTTCATGGTACTCATTTAACCTGTTTTATATTTACCTGTTCTGGTTTTTAGCGGTCATTTGGCCTATTCAAGTTAAGGATCAAGTCAAGACTTGATCTTCTTTTGCTCTCTCACTGTTGGAGCATGACAAGATACGAAGCAAGAGGTTAAGTCGCAAACGTGTCAGTCAAGCTGAAGAAGCAGAGGTCTGAACAAGGTCACTGGGCAGGTGGGAGCCCAGAATGAATTCCCAACATTGGCTTTTAAATGAACATACCCCACAGCAAGAAATACACAATCCACTCGAAGGACTAAAATGGCATTTGGGATCATTCCGACTTACGTGAAAACTGGCTGGTGGGAGGAGAGTATGGCCCCCTGGGAGAAGGGTGGACTCCGAAGAGGTCGGATCTGGAGAAGAAGAAACCACAGTGAGTCGTGTCAACATTAGCTGGTCCCTGCAATCTTAAATCCAGATTATCTTTCTACGTGAGAATAGCAGGAACTATTATGCCATTTCCTTTACTTCTCAGAATCCAAAAAAAGAAACAAGATAAATGCTGACTAGCACGTGGCACCCTCATCGGTAGGCTCGGGAGGTAAAGCATTACTCTCACAGTTCTGTCTCTAGACTTGACAGCATCATTCAACTCAATCTATGTTCCCTGTTAAGTGAGGCAAAGTATTTCTTTTTTTTTTTTTTTTTTAATTTTTTTTTTCAACGTTTATTTATTTTTGGGACAGAGAGAGACAGAGCATGAACGGGGGAGGGGCAGAGAGAGAGGGAGACACAGAATCGGAAACAGGCTCCAGGTCTGAGCCATCAGCCCAGAGCCTGACGCGGGGCTCGAACTCACGGACCGCGAGATCGTGACCTGGCTGAAGTCGGATGCTTAACCGACTGCGCCACCCAGGCGCCCCGAGGCAAAGTATTTCTGCTGCCTTCTCTGCTATATCCAACATCTGAATAAAAAATGATTGTTTCCAGGGGCACATGGGTGGCTCAGTCGGTTGAGCATCTGACTTTTGATTTCGGCTCAGGTCACGATCTCGTGGTTCATGAGTTCGAGCCCTGCATGGGGCTCCGCCCGGACAGCGCAGAGCCTGCTTGGGATTCTCTTCCTCCCTCTCTCGCTCAAAAATATATGAACATTTTTTTTTTAAATGAAAAAAAGATACGATTACTTCCCAGGCCCTTTGAAACTCTGCTATTCATGAAAATTAAATATCACAATAGCATATATTAGTCATACTACCTACCCGCTAGATTGTCTAAAAATTAAACAGACCTGATCAGTACTAACTGCGGCAAGGACATAGAGAAACTGGAACTTTTGTGCAGTTGCCTGTAAATTTATCAATCACATAGAAAAAGTGTTTGGCAGGTATATACTGACTTTAAACATGTTCATTGTGAATTCAGCAATTCCACTCGTGTGCCTACAATCATGAAAGTGAGGGCTTACAACCACCTAAACACTTGTACAGGACTGCTCATAGCAGGTTTACTGATGATAGCCCCAAACCGGAAATAACCCAAACATCTTTCAACATGAATAAACCATGACATTTTCATACAACAGAATATTATTCAACAATATAAAGAACGAGCTGTCGATATACCAAATAACATGGATGTAACTCATAATGTTGAGCAAAACAAAAAACATAACAAGACGCATACTATGTAATTTCACTTAAATAAAAAAAAAAAACAGACCAAACTGGTCTATGGTAATAGAACAGTGATTACCTCTGGAGGGATAACAACTGGGCAGGAGCACAAGAGAAACTTCTGGGGCATCAGAAACATTCTATATCTTAATGTGGTGGTGATTACACTGGTATATGATACATAAAACATTAATCAAGCACTATACTCTAGATTTGTGCACTTTATGTATATAATTGATATGTCAACAAACAAAAACAAACATTGCTCTTGGGGAGGTCTATTCAGAGTAATGGTTACCAGGGAAGCCCGGTTCCCAGAAAACAGAGGAAGCAACAAAAGGAACTGTTTCTTTTTCTAGACTTAAATTTGATCAGTAAGGGAAAACTGATCTGTAATAGAAATTTTGAGGAAAAAAAATGAAGATGTGATTTTATAGTTTTTATTTAAACTTTTTTATGTTTACTTTTTGAGATGGGGGTGGGGAAGGGGGAGTAAGAGAGGGAGACACACAGTCTGAAGCAGGCTCTGGGCTCTGAGCTGTCAGCACAGAGCCTGATCTGGGGCTTCAACCCACAAATCCTGAGATCCTCACCTGAGTTGAAGCTGGATGCTTAACTGAGTGAGCCACCCAGGCACCCCAAGAGTTTTTTGTTTTTTTTTTTAAGTTTTTGTCTTTTATTTAGTGTTGCTAACAATTCTTGTTTTTTTAAATTCACATCCAAATTAGTTAGCATATAGTGCAACAATGATTTCTGGAGTAGATTCCTTAGTGCCCCTTCCCCATTTAGCCCCTCCCCTCTCCCCCCTCCCACAACCCCTCCATTAACCCTCAATTTGTCCTCCACATTTAAGAGTCTCTTATGTTTTGTCTCCCTCCCTGTTTTTATATTATTTTTGTTTCCCTTCCCTTACGTTCATCTGTTTTGTCTCTTAAAGTCCTCATATGAGTGAAGTCATCTGATTTTTGTCTTTCTCTAATTTTGTTTAGCAAAATACCCTCCAGTTCCATCCACGTAGTTGCAAATGGCAAGATTTCATTCTTTTTGACTGCCGAGTAATACTCCCATTGTGTGCATATATCTATGTATACATGTACCACATCTTTATCCATGCATCCATCCATGGACAGAAGGAAATGACCATGTACAGCTATGTACCCAAAACTTTAGGAAAACAGAAATGAGAAACATGGGTAAGATGCTTTTGATTTCAAGTAACAGAAACCCACAGAACCAACACCAGTGACACCTGTAGAAAGCAAGTATGTGCCTGGCAACAGCAGATGCTCACTACATGTTACAGGTATCAGGACTATAAGGGACGGAGGTTCATGAAAAGTAATCCTAACTAAACAACTGAAAAATCCCAAAAAGAAAACAAAAGGCAACGACTTACAATGAAATTACTCTGGCAATAATTCTGAGGAACTCAGAATTAAAAAGAACGTTCATAAAAGATATGATAGGCAGAGAACTGAGGAGAAGGATGTCATCAACGTGGCAGAGTAAGAGTTTTCTATCATCTTCCCTCAAAGAACACGATTCAGACAATCACCCAGGGATGGTTCACAGTGGTCTGTGTGGAAGCCCAGGAGCCCAACAGAGAAGCTTCAGCACACCCAGGACCAGATGCTCCGAAGATGCAAGAGGCAGTTTCACTTTATCTGCATCACCCCCCACCCCCAAGGTGGTAAAGCTCAGGGCCGAGAGACCTTCAAGGCCCTTTATTTCTCCCACAGGGTAAAAGTGAGACTGTGAGAATATTCAGCTTCCCGCCACTTCCTTCCCACCCAGCCAGAGACCGTGTGACTGGGGGACAGGGAGCAGCTGAGAGAACAGGAGTCGGTGCTCTCAGAGGGAAATGAAGGACCACAGATCCTACAAGCCACTTCATGGGCCCTCAGGAAGCCAACCCACTGGGGATGCTCCAGCTGCAGATACCCCCAACTAGCCCGTGGGCACCTCCAGTGCCCTACATACCTCCCCACAACACCCCTGGCCCTATGGCTGGCTCCCTATGGACACTCCTGATGGAGGGGAGAGCGAGACTTTGTAGACAACTAGTGAGCGCATGCAGAGGGCCGACCTGACCCTGCAGGGCTGAGAGAAAGCACTAAGCCCTCAGCATTCAGCACCACCAAGGAGAGCAAATGGGAGTCTGTCAGCACTCAGCCTGGCTTTGCAGGACTGAGAGAAGGCACACAATTTTAAGAATTCCCAGCCAAGAGGGAATAAGAAATGTGAGGCAGACATAGCCATAGAAGGTCAGAGAAAGCCTCAAAATCCCTGACAGAAGGTATTTTTTTTCCTGAAATCAGTAAGTAAAGACAGGAGAAGGTGACTGCTTCTTCAAATGCAAAGATGGAACACCAGATTTCAAGAAACACGAAAAACCAAGAAAACAGGACACCACTGAAGGAACACAATTTTCCTTTAACTAACCCCAAACAAATGGAGATTTATGACTTACATGACAAAAAAAATAGTAATTCAAAATAATTGTTTTAAAGATGTTCAGTGAGCTAGAAGAAAACACAGAAAAATATTTAAATTAAATTAGGAAAACAATACATAAAATTAGAAGTTTAGCAGATAGACATCATTAACAAAAGGCAAAGCAAACCAAAACAAATTTTAGAGCCAAAGAACATAATGAATGATATGAAAAATGCAATGGAAGACACCTATTGCACACTGGACCATGGAGAAGAAAGAACCTGTGAGGTAGAACACATGTCATTTGAAATTATCCATTCAGAGGCATCCGGGTGGCTCCATCAATTAAGCGTCCGACTTTGGCTCAGGTCATGATCTGATGGGGAGTTACAGCCTCATGTCAGCCTCTGTGCTGATAAGAATCTGCTTCAGATTCTGTATCTCCCTCTCTCGGTCCCTCCTCCACTCACTCCCATCTCTCTCTCTCTCAAAAATAAGTAAACATCGAAATTATCCATTCAGAGGAAGATAAAGGAAAAAAAGAATGCCTATGAAAAACAATCTACACATTAGTGGAGTCCCAGAAGAATAAAGGAAATAAGGAACAGAAAGCTTATCTAAAGAAATAATAACTAAGAATTTCCCAAATCTTGGGAGAGACTAACACCTCCAAGTTCATGAAGCTCACAGGTCTCCAAATAATTTCAACTGAAAAACATCTTCTCTAAAACACATAATGATAAAACTGTCTACGATCAAAGACAAAAAGAAAATTATAAAAGTAGGAACAGGGAAAAAAAAATTTTGTTCACATTTAAGGGAAGTCCTGGGAAGGCTACTGGCAGATTTCTCAGCAAAAAAAAGTGCAGCCAGCACAGAGTGGGATAATATATGCAATGTGCTAAAAGAAAAAAACTTCAAACCAAGAATACTTTACCCAGCAAAGCTATGCTTCAGAAATGAGGGAGAGATAAAGACTTTTCTATACAACACAAGTTGAAGGAGTTCATCACCTCTAGAGTTGTTTTACAAGAAATGCTGAAAGGCATCATTCAAGGTGAAGTAAAAGTATACTAATTAATAACATGAAACATGAAATTACAAAACACACTGGTAAATGGGGCACCTGGGTGGTTCAGTCGGTTAAGCATCCAACTTAGGCTCAGATCATGATTTCATGGTCCGTGAATTCAAGCCTCGCGTCAGGCTCTGTGTTGATATCTCAGGGCCTGGAGATTGCTTCAGATTCTGTGTCTCCCTCTCTCTCTGTTCCTCCCCCACTCACACTCTGTCTCTCTCTCTAATATAAATAAGGAAAAATTAAAAACAAAAAAACCC